TAAAATGCATCTATAAATTTAATTAAAAAAAATAAAAAGTCTAACAGGCTGACTACAGTTTCAAGATAGAGACTAGTTATTTGGATCAGATATATCTTCTACTGAAAATGAACTAACAAAAACGTTGGGTTTCAGGATTTAAAGTAAAAAAAATAAAAAGTTAAAAGAATAGCAAGGAGTTCCTAGGAACCTCATAAGTAAACAGAGCCCCAAGTCATGTATGTCTCAGGGTGAAGTCATGTATGTTGCAGGGTGAAGTCATGTGTGTTGCAGGGTGAAGTCATGTATGTTGCAGGGTGAAGTCATGTGTGTTGCAGGGTGAAGTACAAGACCTGTTTCAAGGTGTGAGTCACAGGGATGGGGAACAGAAGTCAGGGCCGAGGCTGGTGAAGACAGGGAGGGCAGAGGAAACCTACCCTCTACGCAGGCGGAATCGCAGAGGCTCTGTTCCAAGGGGAGGTACAGTAAACCAGACCTCCGTCCTCGTAAGCACAAAGGGCCCGGCAGAAGCTGGCCTGGGTGCTGAACAGAGCAAGAGGGAGGGGGAAGGAAAGACAGACTCCCTGGACATTATGGCTGCAGAGCTGCCACATGTGGTTCTGGGTGACAGTGGCACAGAACCTGGGCACCCGTGGACTGAAGGACTGTGATCTGAGGGGTCACACCGGCACTGCCCTCCGGCAGATGGCAGAGCTGATGCAGATTCTCTGGGGGAGGGCACGTTCACTGCCACCAGAGCCCACTCACGGGAATGGCCAGCAAACAGCCAAAGATATTCAGATACAAAAAGAAAAGAGACAAGAAAAAGAACCACCGGAAACAATGAAAATACCCACACAGACTTGAGAAATGCATAACCAGATCTACATTTTAAAACCACGATGTTTACCTCGTGACTGCAGGCTCGCTGAGATGCAGCCTCTGAGCCGTCAGGACAGCCTGACTGGGATGATAAACATGGTCAGTTTGAACATATCCACAGGAAACTAGGAAAAGTGACATAACCTATTTTAAAATAAACCAAACATTTCTAGAAAGGGAAACACAGTAACTAAAATGAGAAACTTGACAGATTTATCCGGCAGCAGACTGAAGACAGCAAAATCAGACAAAGTAAACTGGAAAAATGGCCTGAAGAATTCTCCAAGATGCAGCACACACAGGAGAAAACCGTGATCCGGTCCAGCATCAATTTGATCAGAAGAAATTTGAGAAGACAGGAAAGAAGGAACAGGCAAAGAAAGTATTTCAGAGATACTGGCTGGATAATTCCAAAAACACTGAAGGACACAATTCCCATATTAAGCGTGCCGGTGAATTAGAAGAAAAAGAAAATGAAATGTGCACCTTAATAAAGAAAACGAAACTCCAGGAAGCCAGAGGTGGGGACAGGTAAAGCAGGAAAGGAAAAGTGGATGCTCCTCAGAAAGACAAGGCTGACCCAGAGCTCCCTTCCCTGGCACAGGGGCTGACGAGAGTGGGCGTCTCCCACAGAGAAAGCCAGCGCCACCCCGAAGTCCATGTCCAGGGAGCACCTTCCTCAAGGATGAAGGCAACAGGAGAAAAAGGATAAGCCGCATCCATTTCGCAACACAAAGCAGGTTAATGCCAAGTATATTGAGATCTACTAGTAAAAGTTAAAAAAAAAAAAAATCCAAGGACTACAAAAATGGGATGAATTGTTACTAACCTAGGTCTCTGTCTCAAAATCTGTAAGTAATAAAAAAGATGAATGCATTAAAGAGACTTCAGGGGGTAAGAGGAGAAGAGTCCTAAGCAAATGAGAATACAAATGGTCAACATAAAAAATATTTGCAATTGGGGAAAAAAATCACAATGAAGTAATTATTTCTTTAAATTAAACATTTTTTTCCAACTATAGTTGACATTAATATTATATTAGTTCCAGGTGTACAGAATACTGGTAAGACATTTATATAGCTTACAAAGTGACCCCCAGCAAGTCTTGTCCCCACCTTGCACCATACATAGTTACTACCGTATTGCTGACCACATTTCCTATTCTGTGCGTTCCGTGCCTGACTATTTTCTCACTTCCTACTTGTACTACTTAATATAAAGCAAACGTACTATAGATGGAGACTGATGACTCAAGCTGACAATCAGGAAAAAAAGGCGAAAGTTATGAAGAGACAACTCAAATGCAAATGGCCGGAGGCACCAGCAGCCGCTGTGCCAACTCTGCTGCTCTGACCAAGGGACGTGAGGAGCTGCAGGCACCTGCGGAGCAGCAGGGGGAGTGAAGATAGAGCCAGGTTCTCCCTCTGTAGGAGATGTCATTGGGGAAGGTGTCTCCCTTTCCAGGACCAGGAAGAGGACAACAGGAAAAGACAGACTTACACCGGCAGGAGGAACATACCCTTCTGAATAACCCGTTATCGCACATGCCCATACACACGCTTCCATACCCACCCACCACCAAAACCCCAGCCCTGTCCTTTGTTTAGCCTAAGAGGGCACATAGCCCGCAAGTTCTAACCCCTCCTCGGGTTACCCATCACTGAGCCTCTCCCATGCACATGTGTGCTCCACGTGTTAAAAAACTTTTTCTCTCATTAATCTGTCTTTTTTTGTCAGTTAAATTTCCAGGGCCCCAGCCAGAGAACCAAGGAGAGGAGAGTAGAAGTGTTTTCCCTCCCCTGTAGGCCGTTAGACATGTGAAAACTATCAACTTTGCTTATAGAGACATGCAAGTTATGCAGCCTCAAGAAGCCCTCCACATAGGACTGGCACATCCCGCACAGACGATGGCTCTACGTCAGGCTGCTGGGCCCACGCTCTGACACCCTGCACAGGAGGCCCGCAGGATCTCAGAGCAGCTGCCCTCCTGCCAGCCGTCTCGCTGCCAGGGTCCTACCGAACACTGACAAGTAAGTGTTCTGTCACAAAGTTTTTCATGGTGCCAATATTTGTAGCTACAAAGGAACACACACAAGCCAAATGTCTATCCATAGGGAACAGGCTGAACTATTAAGCACATCTACAAAATGGAAAAGAGAAATGAGAAGACATTTCCGCAGCTGTACAGTAAGTGTCTTACATATATACAGGGTGGGGCAAAAATAGGAGTAGAGTGGTGAGTACACGAAACACAGTGTTCATCTTTGTATTATTATTTATTAGTTACTGTACTATTTTCCAGGTGAACAACTGTGAACCTAAGCCCCACCCTGTATAACTGCGATCATATCTTGGTGTATGCTTAACTTAAAAAAAAAAAAAGAAGAAAGCCAAGTTGTCTTCTAAGTAAGTTGTACCATTTTCCATTCCGACCTGCAGTGTCCATGTTCCAGACGCTCCCCGTGCTTCCAACACGGGCACAGTCAGCCGTTGTAATGTGAGCCACTCTGAGAGGAGCTTACGGAAGCAGTGGGGTCCCGTGGCTGCAATCTGCATGTCCTCTATGCCGAACACCTATCTTCTTTGGTGAAGTCTCTTCTCAAAGCTCTTGACTTTTTAATTAAGGTGCTTTGTTTTCTTACTATTGAGTTTGGAGAGTTCTTTATGTATTTTAGATATGTGTCCTTTCTCAGATATATGGCTTGCACTTATTTCCTCCCAGTCTTGGATTTGTCTTTCTATTATTCTCTTAACAGTGCCTTTTGACAACAGGTTTCTTAATTTTGACCAAATCTAATATTTCCATTTTTTCTCATATGCATTGCGCTTTTGGTGTCTTATATAAGAAATCTTACATTTCTAACTCACCAGTACAAAGATTGTTTTCCTAAATCTTGTGGTAGAAGTTTTATATTTTTAAGTGTCACATTTAGGCCTGTGGTCTGCTTTGAGTTCACTGTTTTACATGGTGAGACCTATGACTCAAAGTTAGCTTTTTGCAGATGGACAACCAATAGCTGAAAAGACTATTCTTCCCCCAGTGATCTGTCTTGACACCAATCTTCATTTTTAAATGTTTAAGTCTGTATTATGACTTTTGTCTTTAAAGGTCCTATGTCTCAAAGTACATACTTTCTTCCTCAAAATGTTAGTAAAATAAGAAAAGCTGAAAGCATGCATTCTTACCAAGGTAGGATTTCCGACAAAGGACACCCTGGCCTAGAGCTGCAATAGAGGAAGCCTGGGGGGCGGCGGGCCTCCACAGGCAGCAAGCACTTGCCCAGGACAGTCAGGGCTGGGAGTGGGCACAGGGCTTCAAGAGCTGGCGGGTAAGCCGTATGCTCGGACCACCTCACTTACAGATACTAGTTCTGTCCTCATGTTGCACATGAAAATGTAGGTGCACTCATGCACACACCTACTGCAATGAGCAGGTTGGCCTACGGAATGCTTGCTCGTGGTCGATGGAACAGCGAAAGCATCTGGGCCTGTCGCAGGGAGCACCCCGAGGAGAAGAGAAAGAGAGAGAGAGAGAGAGGCCGTGGAAGAGGCAGCACTCGGGTGCACCAGCCCAGCGGTCGGGAGCACCATGCCACAAGGGCTCTGCCAACAACTACGGAAACAGTATCTCGTGTCCATCCCCTTCCCGTTACCGCACCTGCGGCTGCTCAGCTGATTACACAAAAGCTGTTTCTTCCCTAGATTCTTCTCTGAGCGGTAACGAAAACAGCAAGAGAAATACGTTAATACTTTATGGTTAAATATATTTTATACCTTTGTTCATGATTATGAATGTGACAGATAAGGGTATAGTTACAATGTTTATCAGCCACTGTTTTTCTTAACTATAAATAAGATTATTTAAAAAATTTTAAATTTGGGGTTCATTAGAAGTTGTAGTCTCCACTAACCTCTTCCTTTAGAACAGTGGTTCTCAAACTTCTGGCCCTTTAAATACAGTTCCTCATGTTGTGACCCAACGATAAAATTATTTTCATTGCTACTTCATAACTGTAATGTTGCTACTGTTATGAATCGTATTGTAAATATCTGATATGCAGGATGGTCTTTGGTGACCCCTGTGAAAGGGTCGTTTGACCGCCAAAGGGGTCTCGATCCACAGGTTGAGAACTGCTGCTTTAGAAGGAAGAGCAGGCCCAGTGTGGAGGGAGAGAAGCTGGAAGGGGCCGGCCTGGCCTGAGGAGGTGGCTGTGAGGCCGCCCACGCCGCCGACGTGCCCAGGGAGGTTCCTCAGGGCCTGCAGCTCCCGCTCCCAGGCTCGCTGCGGGCCAGGAGGAGCAGGACTGCCCTCCTGCTTGCACGTTCAGGGGCAGCGGGGTCTCCTGGGCCCAGGGAGCCTCGAGACGCCTGGCCAGTCAGCTGATGTCACATGGTTTTTATTTTAAATCACTAATTAAAAACTAAAAAAGTGTGGAGGGCATATTCACTATGTTTTCTTGTCTGAAAAACAGCACCCATACTTTTAATCTCATCAAACAGGAGAGACTTTCCCAGGGAGTCACTGCTGGCCTCTTGAGGGCAGACGTCACCCCGAGACAGGCCTCTATCAGGCTGGGCCGTGGAGATGTGCTGTCGGGCTGCCCAAGAATCCTACCTTCAGCTCAGAAAGGGGTTCGCTTTAGGGTCTAGAGGACTCCTACAAGCACATCAACCCCCGCCTCCCCGGGGTGTTGTGAAGGCCAGTAAGTGCCTGATAGAGAGGTCACACGTGACTTCCCCAGAACACAGGGAAGCCGTGAGCCCACCGACGTGTCTGCTCTGACCTTAGAGAAAGGGCAGGGTCCCAGGAGCCCAGGCACCGGGGATTGTGGGGTCCCCGCAGGAACGTACTCGCCTTTTGAGTCTGTCTCAGCACCTCCGGGGGAGGAAGATGACCTTGCCGGGTAAATGTCCCACACAGTCAGCCCTTGGTGCCTGGCCAGCCACCTTCTGTACAGTGACTGCGCTTCCAGGACGCGAAGCAGCAGGACAGGCCTCCCAACTTGGGGTGCACGACACATGTCTGGGTGCTTCCCTTCCAATCCTCTCCAGTGCAGAACCTCTCCTCTCACAGGTCCTCCCAGAGCAGAGGCTGCGAGGGGGTGTGCTGGGGCTGCGAATACGACAGATGGACTCGCGTTGAGTCTTACTACTTACAAAGTAGCTCGGTGTCTGAGAGGAGTCAGTCATTGGAGCCTGGGAAATACAAATCAGTCACTGGCTGACCGTGTACTCACTACACAAGCCAGAAGCTGTGGTTTCCACTGACATAAGCTCCCAATAAGCCTGTAAAAGAAAAAGGGAAAGGGAGCCCAATGTCGAGGGCAGGCCAGGAGAACGTTCTCTTCGCCCCTGCTCCTCGCCACATTCGAGTCCATCCCATAACCTACAGCACGCCCGTCCCATGCAGCAAACGTCCAATAAAGTCCTACACGGAGCAAGCCAAGACTAAGTCACACGGCCTCCTCAGTGCTGTGCCTGTGCAGCAGCAGCATGTACGGGTTACATAAACATTCGCCTCTTCCTGTCCCTTCCAAGTCCCCTCTGGCCTTCAGGGTTTCCAATGTCTAGCGGAGCAGCCAAAGCTGTCGAGGAAATCTATCAACCTACCAACCAATCTTCCTTTTCTCCCCTCCCTTTGTCTCTGGTGATGGTGGGGAAGCGGAATTTTTTATTTTTCACATAAGATCAATGAACAGCCACATGGCAATAATGATGCCTTGGGAAAAAGCACAACAGCAAGCCAGGGGAGGGCTGTTGTAAGTACTTCATTAGCTCACTGAGTTCTCACACCAGCTCCCTGGGGTGGTGCCATGACCCCCCACTTTAGGCCCGAGAGGCAGTCCCTGCAGAGCTGGGTGCTCACTCACAGGCTCACTAGTCTCTCTGAGCCACAAAGACTGTGGCCATACCTTGCTGAACCAACACCAATGGCTGCAGGACAGAAAGGGTGGGGCTATCTGAATTACCAAGGCAGCCACACGTTGGAAATGAAAAGCAAAAAAATACTTGAGTTTAACTCTATTAAGAGTAAGATAACACTAGGTGTGGATATGATATACATTTTGACTAAATTGAAACAAAGGTATCCTGAAGGCAAAGAAAGAAAGCCATTGAAACTGACCTTAAAATGTGGAGGAGTGAAAACAAACTTTTAATTTTCACATTGAACTACTGGACTAGAGTCACAGATGGTACAGATGAAAGCGTAATGAGAATAGGCAAACGTTTTGTTTCTGTACCAGCTGTTATTACTAGTAATTTTTGCTTTTTTTGTTTTTTTTTCTTTAAATTCAACATATGACATAATTTTTAGAAGCACACAGGGATCTATCACTCCTTAGAAATCAATTCACCCTACAATTCCTTAGAAAAGGCCTTTCCGTTGCTTGGAGTGATTAGGTATGAACAGACTCCATCAGTCCTTCAGAAACACAGGAAAGGCAAGACGGGACTGAATACGTACTCCAACCTCACACTGTATGTGCCTCTGCAACCAGGAGAAATGTGAGAAGTTAATTTGGTGTCATCATTCCCACAGTTACCAGAATCACATGGGATAACATGAAGTGAGCTGACAGCTCTCACATTCATCAAATATCCTGATTTCAGAGGTCCATACTTATCAATACATCATAATGTATATCCTAAAAACGAAGCCTGTAAATGACCTTCCTTGTATTATGTTAAGTTTATAAACACATCCACAGAAAACAAGTTATGGGGTGTGATGTGATCAAAGACTCAAGAGAAGAGAAAACTGGAGAGATTGTGCAGGGCCCAGACGGGCGCTGCCTGCCTCATCCCAGCGGCCTCCCCTCCCAGAGCAGGCGTCTGTCCAAACTGAACAGTTTCCTTCCACTCACGTGTAGTGAGGAGCTGGCCTTCACAGCTCTGTCGCTCCTCTGTGATCCCCAATCTCAGTGTCGGGAAAGCCCAGGAGGACTGCAGGCAGCAGCTTTGCAGACTGATCACGGAGCAGTTTGTCTATCCCACACGGCTCCTCATGAAGCAACACTAAGCACCTCATTTCAGACTACTCCACACGGCTATTTAAATATATCACTAGGCAGCGCAAAACCTTTGTATTCCTCAGAATAAGTGTTAGACAAGTAATTCTACTGCATGTAAATAATACTTTATAAATATGTAAGAAATTAGCAAAAGAAAGTCAAATAAGCTAAATAAAGAGAGGAAAGAATTACAGTTCAAACTAAATAAAGTGGAAATAAACCTAATGTGTTTGTTGGCATACTTAAAAATCAACATTTAGTACAAAGAATACAACAAAAACAGTTCTTTGAGGGCTCTAAGAAAGGTTTGTGCCATTACATTGTTCAATGATGTTTTCCAAGCTCATTACATGTCAGAATGACCCTGGTGGAGGTGGAGGTAGTTGCGAGGTCTGCAGGTGAAAGTATGGATACAGTGCACCTGCCCCACGGCATGCCCAGACACAGGGACCTGAGGCCCCCATCCAGTGAGCCTGACAAGGTGCCCTGGATAACTGGCCCTGCTGCTGCCACTGGGACCTGGCACGCTCAGACCCGCTGCCGGGACCTGACACACCCAGACACATGGACCTGCTGCCGCAACCAGGCATGCCTGACCCGGTGCTCCGGAAGACAGGACCGCAAAAATGGGGACACAAAAAAACAACCCCCAAATGAAAGAAAAGAAGGAATCACTAGAAAAGAAACTAAATGAAAAGGAGGCTAGCAATTTATCAGAGTTCAAAGTAATGGTTATAAAGATGTTCAAACAACTTAGTGAGACCTACAAGCAACTTAATTATAACTACAAGGAACTTAAAGGAAACTTCATAAGCAAGAATAAAGATGTAGAAATCATACATAAGAATCCACAAAAAATGAAGAATGACACAGCTGAAATAAAGAATACCCTGGAAGGAAACAACAGTAGATTAGGAGCTGAGGAACGAATCAGTAAATTAGAATACAAGGTAGGAAAAAAATCGCCAAATCAGAGCAGCACTTAGAAAAAAAAATTTTAAGCAGGAGGATAGCTAAGGGAGCTATGGGACAACATGAAATATAACAACATCTGTATCACAGGGGTGAAAAAAAAGGAGAAGAATCTGAGCAAGGAATAGAGAACCTGTTAGAAGAAAATGACAACTTTCCTAAGCTGGTGAAGGAAAAATTCACTTAAGTTCAGGAAACACAGAGTCCCAATCAAGATGAACCCCGAAAGACCCACATCTAGGCACATATTAAGCATCTTCTTGGATCACAAGAGCATGAAACTAGTAACCAACTATAATAAAAGCACTCAAAAGCATTCAAACACATGGAGGCTAAATAGCATGTTATTAAACAATGAATGGGTTAATAATGAGATCAAGGGAAAACAAATAAAAACCTTCCTGGAAACAAATGAAAATGAACACATCCCATATAATAAAAGCCTAATATGCTAAGTGTCTGGTCCACTGGTCGGCCATTCAACCAGTCAAAGCGTAATATGCTAATTATATGCTAAGGCCACTCAACCGCTCACTATGATGTGCACTGGTTGGACCACCAGGGGGCAGATGCTCCAACCAGTAGATTACCTTGCTGCTAGGGTCCGGCCAATCAGGACTGAGTGAGACGAGCCAGACATGCCCTGGAGCCCTCCCATGGTCCCTCCCTGGCTGGCCAACCTCCTGCGTCTCTCCTTGGCCCCAATCGTGCACCAGTGGGGTCCCTCAGCCTGGCCTGTGCCCTCTCACAATCCGGGACCACTCGGGATGTCAGAGAGCCAGTTTTGGCCCAATCCCCACAGGCCAGGCCAAGGGACCCTACTGGTGCACAAACTCATGCACTGGGCCTCTAGTAACAACCTAAAAATCTATGTGACATAGTGAAAGCAGTCCTGAGAAGGAAGTTCATCACACTACAGGACTATTGCAAAAAAAAAAAAAAAAAAAAAAAAAATTCTAATAAACTATCTAACCCTACAACTAAAAGAATTAGAAAGAAAAGGACAAGAAAAGCCCAAAGTAAGTAGAAGGAAGGGAATAATAAAGATCAGAGCAGAAATAAATGACATAGAGACTAAAAAACAATATAAAAGATCAATGAAGCCAAGGGCTGGTTCTTTGAAAAGATAAATAAGACTCATGAACCTTTAACCAGATTCATCAAGAAACAAAGAGAGGCCTAGCTGGTTCGGCTCAATGGATAGAGTGTCAGCCTGCCACCTGAAGGGTCCTGGGTTTGATTCCGATCAAGGGCACATGCCTGGGTTGTGGGCTCAACCCCCAGTAAGGGGCGTGCAGGAGGAAGCTGATCAATGGTTCTTTCTCATCACTGATGTTTCTATCTCTCTCTTTCTCTCTCTCTTCCTCTCTGAAATCAATAAAAATATAATTTTAAAAATTTAAAAAGGAAAAAAAAGAAACAAAAAGAGAGGACCCAAATAATTGAAATCAGAAACAAAAGCAGTGAAGTAAAAACTGACACCACAGAAATACAAAAGATTACTAGTATAAGAAAATATTATGAACAACTATATACCAACAAACTGGACAACCTGAGCAAAATGGACAAATTCTTAAAAAATACAATCTTCCAAAATTGAATAAGCTGATAATAAATTATGAAATTGACATAGTGGTAAAAAAAAAAAAAATGCCCAGCATACAAAATCCGGATGGCTTCACAGGGGAGTTTTACCAAACATTCAAAGAAGAACTAACACCTATCCTCCTCAAACTATTCCAAAAAATCTAAGAGGAAGACTTCCAAGCTGTTTTTACAAGGCCAGCATTATACTAATTCCAAAACCAGATAAAGACACTACAAAGAAAAAAAAAAATTACAGGACAATATCCCTGATGAACACAGATGATAAAATCCTCAACAAAATATTAGCAAATTGGATACAGTGATATATTAAGATCATACACCAGGCCAAGTGTGATTTATTTCAGGGGTGCAAGGCTGGTACAATATTTGCAAATAAATAAATGTGATACATCACATAAACATATTGAAAGACAAAAACCACATTATCACATCAATAGACACAGGAAAAGCATTAGACAGAATCCAACACCCATCCTATATAATAAAAGCCTAATATGCTAAGTGTCCGGTCGTCCGTTCAACCAATCAAAGTGTAATATACTAATGATATGCTAAGGCTACTCAACTGCTCGCTATGACGTGCACTGACCACCAGGGGGCAGACAGTCGACTGGTTGACCAGTCACTATGATGTGCACTGACCACCAGGGGGCAGATGCTCCAATTGGTAGGTTAGCTTGCTGCTGTGGTTTG